GCATATTTGTCAAATTATATTCAAGTTGTGTCAATTTGAGCCATTTTCTCTAGAAAAAAACATTACAATTTTATCATTATTCATAGCTTGTTTTCCTGATATATATGCATATCATGTATAGATACCATAGAGATGCTTTTTAATGCTGTTTCAATGAACCTGCGAGTCCCTGAGGACTTAATATGCCTCATGTGTATTTTAGAGGAACTGCAGCTTTATTCTTTACAGTCACAGTTCTTGAGGTTGCCAGATGGAAATAAGCAGAAGACTGCACTCTGGCATTCCCCTTTGTTTGGAAATAGGATTTTATTTAATGATTAACAAACAATTTATTCAATTTTATTTATAAAGTGCCAAATCACAATGACAGTTGCCTCAATGCAAAAAAAACACACAACTTAACTGGAGTCTGTTTAGTTTGTCAACAGAGTGACACTCAGCTGAAATAATGCCAGAGCAGTACACACAGAAGGATATTCACAAGTGGCCCCTTGACTTCTCATCTGCTTAGGTGAACATCCCCGTCTACATCCATCCGCTGTCACCATGCCTCCTCATGAGACATCTGCAGGTTCCTGTTGCTTAGTAATAGTCTTCAGTGCTATGATTAAAGTGAGCTTCAAAGCTCTGGACACACTCATTACTCACAGCAGCCTGCATAATGAATCCCTGGGAGGAAGATGATTAAGAACAGCATCCTTTGTAATCAAGAGTGTGGTGGGGATCAAATTTGTCTTAGTGTTCAGTCTATCTGTGCCTCATCCATCCGTAGCAGGTCAATGAGGTCACTAGAGAAATGGCCAGTCAGCAATCTAAGAAAAACAACCTGCTGACCTTTTTGTGGATGGTTGGTGTTCTCTGCATGATGCTACAAGCAGCCAGGATCTCATTTGCCTGGCTTTCATGTCTCACAGTCTGCACAGATACATTTGTCTTTGATATGTACTTTGGGCTGACATTAAAGGCGGACTGTTCTGAAAAAAAATTCAGATTACTAACATCCATATGTAGTTCATACTCACTGTGATATGGGACGTTATCAGACAGCAGGTGTCATTTATTTTTATTTTACAGTCACAGGATACACACACACACACACACACACACACACACACCAAAGGATGACTTTCCACAACATCATAACAACCTTTGAAAATCCTTCACTTTTAGCCCTCTTCACTGTATTGTACAGTCATTCACCCTGCAGAGAACCCAAACAGCATGATGCTACCACCACTATGCTTCAGTCTCAGGATGAAAGCATCAGGCGTAGAGCAGTCAACCAACACATTCTCATCCTGGGGCTGTCTGTCAAGTCTTCTCTGTAGCCAGTCCCAGGCCTACAACTTCCACATCTGGAGTTTAGAGCGGTGGTGGCAATAGCTACAGGTTTAACAGCCAGGAGGCTGGCATGTGTCTCGTGCCGACTTACTCAGTGATTCTTTTGATGTTTCTTTCATATTTATTATTTCACTCACTGGTCCAGTTTTGGGGTTAGGGTTTTGCCCAAATTCAAGGTAGGATTAAACTTCAAGTTGATGATTCTCACAGAAAAAGATTGATATTACACATGTAGCGGTAGCAGGAAAAATAAAGTTAAAACACTTGACAGAAGTGATCACATTTGCCGTTTTAACCTTGTGATACTTGCTAATGAAGATGCTCTTCACAGTTATTAAAAGTAGATTGTGATGTCATTTTTGCAAAGGGCATATGGGGGTGGTAGTTACTCAGTTAGCTTTCTGAGTAATTATACAAGGTAAACAAGAATATATCGAAGAGTCAAACTCAATGAACTGAACAGTCACTAAAGCAGAGTTCCTGGTTCAGACGTGAACCTGGTGAAAAGGAGTAGACTATATCTCATCAATGCATGAATTATGCACAGAGCTGACACACACAGCAACAAGGACACCATTTCAGGAAAGAAATGTTGGTGTTGCTGAATTTGACCATGATGGTATATACTTGGTATATCAGAAAACATTACTGAGAAAATGATGCATACTTTTATCTAAATGGGCCACATATGAGGAGTATATGAGTACTGGATGAATAAGCACTCAGTGGAGATGATGACAGGAAGTGGAGTCCCTGGGTGGAAAGAGAAGACACGGATGACGCATCGGAAGGAGGGTAATGAAGGCAGAGTTTGCAAACAGGCATCGTCACATAAACACATGGTTCCCATATGTGATGCCTTAAACATACAACGTTCGAAAGAGAACGATGAATAAATGAATTAATAATACAGATGCATTTTCAGTATCAAACGGTATCAGCAGCCACACACTCATGTGTGTAAGCTTCACAGAGATGACATGTAATTACATTTCTAGGGAGGTGCGCGTCAGGTCACAGAGTAGGCTATGTGATACATTACTCCACATAAAGTTATCCTGAAAGGTGAATTGGTTATAGAGACCAAAACCATATTCAGTTATTTTATGAGGCTGTAAACAAGGTGCTTTATATTGTAAGGTAGACCCTACAATAACACATACAGAGAAAAACCCAACAATCATGTGACCCCCTATGAGCACTTTGGCGACAGTGGGAAGGAAAAACTCCCTTTAAGCAGAAAGAAACCTGCAGCAGAACCAGGCTAATGGAGGGGCAGCCATCTGCCGTGACCGGTTGGGGTGAGAGGTGGAAGACATTTTAACATGCAAGCTAGCCTCAAGTGGCAATTAGAGGGACTGCAGTCTTATATGTTGGGTCCCTGGTTTCTCACCTCTGTGGCAAAGAAGCTTGTTGGCTACATCCTGCCACTCTACCATCATGGGTCCAAAACTACACTTTAAATTAAAACTCCACTTAAGACAGTTTACCAAGGTAAGAAATGTCTATTTCTTTATTACATTCAACAGTACAGTACACTGAAATTGCACATTTTCACCAGATATAGCAGCATTCTGACTGGCAAATGGACTAATTATTAGGCACAATCAAGACATTTAAATACAAATACACACGTTCAAATGTGTCATGGCCATTTTCTGACCACAAACAGATTCCACTTAGCTGTTAATGTACATGCCTGGTAAAACAAATTCTATACAGCTAAACACACTGTCTTCTACCTGCAACTCCAGTGGCAACAAAACATGTAAGGTCAGGCCAAGCCCAGATTATCTTCTCAAAATAACACAAAAGAAACAACAACAAAAAAATCTTTTCTCTTGCACAACATGTGCCAATCAGTGCATTTCAGGAGTTATAAAGCCTTTTCGTGTATTTTTATGGTTTCCTTCAGACAACTTCTTCACTTAAGATAATGTCTTTAAAAGAAAAATTAATTAATTTAAAAAAACCTGAATGACACTGTCTCACCTTTGGAGGAATGGGTGATTGTGGGCTCAGTAAATGCAGCAGTGATGGCTTTTGAGCAGGTTTATCTAATGCTGCGGTTTTGGATGAGCTGGTCTCTGAAGTACGGCGAGGTTTATATGATATTACTTCTTGATTTCAGGTGATATTTTTGCCAAATGTAGGCTGATTTTAAGCGCAAAAAAGACAAAAAAAAAAAAGAACTTTGGCACTAAAAAGTGAGGTGAAATCCCAGCTGTAAACTGCCTGAGCTGACCTAGAACTAGCTTAGACTCTGAAGCTGCTGCAGGTGGAGATCAGTGTCTTCACCTGTAATATGCAGCCACTTGTCAAAAACAAATGTACCTTTTTTTGGTCTCTTATCTTATTATTTTTGACAAAACAAAACTTTTTGCATTTCACTTGTTATTTCCTGAATGGTCGAGACTCACAGCACAGGTGTCGAACTCCAGGCCTTGAGGGCTGCTGTCCTGTTTGTTTTCCAACTAACCTGCCCTTGTGCCTTCTTGGATGATCTGATATCCTTGTGTCGGTGTTGTTCCCACATCATCATAATAAATGTTGTTCCAGGTTCAACATTGCAAGTGACCAATCACATTGTTGTGACGTCATACTTTTGCAAGCCAAGCCATTCATTCATTTATGAAATTCGAATGTTGCAAGGACAATATGTATAGTGAACCTGGAACAACATTTATTATGATGATGTGGGAACAACACCAACACGAGGATATCAGATCATGCGTAGCTTCTTATTGGCAAAGCACACCTGATCCAGGTAATCAGCAGCAGGTAGGGCAGGGATACCTCAAAAACAAGCAAGATACTGGCCCTCGAGGACTGGAGTTTGACACCCCTGCTCTACAGGCTCAAATGCCAAATGGACTTCCAGTGTGTTTCAAAAGATGTGCTCAAGATTCAAATTTGGCAGATACAGCAGATATAGATTTGAATATAAAGATATATATATTGTATATAAAGATGAACACAGAACCTAAAGATTCCCATTACCTTTTGTATAGGTCAAATTGTAAGGTTTGGTATGGTAGTCCAGTTGCCATCGACCTGTTGGAAGCCTCACAACTTTCTGAGAACCTTCATACACTCCCTGACCATTTAAAGTCAGACTGACATTAACACTGCATTGAACCACTGTGGGGGTTTGAGGCTGATACTGCAAACACATCCAGTTGATCCAACCCAACATTTGCCAACAATAGAACATCATATCCCAACACACTGGACAGACTGAGCAGGTAGACTGCACGCACACCGGTAGGTCATTCTTGACTATCAGCAACAGAATCGTGCTTATTTAAAATGTTTGTTCTGGGTTGTTGGGTACAGGGTCTCAGTCGAGCCTGTTATATTCCACCAACTACTACTACTGATACTTGAACTATCAAGTATCAGAAGCTGATATTGAATCTACTGAGTCTTGTAACATTTTTAATCTTTGGACCACAAATTTGTCATCAAATATTTTGAGCGTATCCTAAAGTGCAAACAAATAAAACAATTTTAATAATAATGGATTGGGTTTATATAGCGCTTTACAATGCCACTATTCATTCACTCTCGCATTAACACACTGGTGGAGGCAAGCTACAGCTGTAGCCACAGCTGCCCTGGGGCAGACTGACAGAAGCGAGGCTGCCATATTGCGCCATCGGCCCCTCTGGCCAATACCAGTAGGTGGCAGGTGAAGTGTCTTGCCCAAGGACACAACGACCAGGACAGAGAGCCCGGGGATGGAACCGGCGACCTTCCGGTTACAGATGCACTTCCCAACCTCCTGTTCTATGGTCGCCATCATATAGACAGCACGTCAAATGACAGGTCCTGAGCTTAGATCACCCAATAATCCCTGAACTCTACCCAGTTTAGTTAAAAGCCCCCCAGGTATTTATTATTTGCTTTTAGATGAAATTTCTTTCTTTTCTAATGTAAAAGCAAACAGATGGAATGAATTGTGGGCTCACTGTTGGTCAATCTTTGATTTGATCCTTACATCAAGTCTCTTTTTTCTTGTTTTTTGTTTTTAAGTGGTTTGAGTCTTAGCAATGACAAAGAAGTCCATTAAGTAGCATTGTGTTTAATACTAGACTACATTAACCAGAAAAACTACCACAACAATCCTTAAGTGTATGCATATGCACAAAGTAAGCTGCTGTGAAGCCAGCAATGATTCTAAAGGTATGTCTACTAACTGTTGCCACAAGAGGTCATCCTGAATGGCTATTTATGTTTACTTAAGCCACGGGCGTCCAACTCCAGGCCTTGAGGGCAGGTGTCCTGCAGGTTTTAGATATCAGCCTGGGCCAACACACCCGAATCAAATGATTAGTTTATTACCAGGCCTCTGGATATCTTCAAGACATGCTGAGGAGGTAATTCACCTGACAACCTTTAAATCTCTGGCATGTCTCTGGCATGTTGGACTCACCGTGTACCTCCCGGATTGGATCTTCAGTCTGGCTTCTGTAGCAATAACCCATTCCACCTCAGCCCCCTTATATTTTTAATGCAGTGCTAACCTCAGTCTTATAGCCTGCTAAGAGAAGTAAACCATGAGAAAACCCTAGTGAGATAAGATGCATTTTAACAGTGTTTCAGAGAGGAGTTATGCCTTATACCACAGAGCGATGCTCTCCACATATATACACAGCGCTCGGCTGTATGCGCCTCTTTGTGTTGCCTGGCAGCTGAGGAAGAAACTTGAAATATTTGGGCATCAGATCGAGGCAGGCGTCGCGGAACTTCTTGATCCGCCAGTAGTAAATAAGAGGGTTGAGGGCTGACTTGAGGTAGCACAACCACAAGACCCATGTGCTGATTTGAAAAAAGCTGTCTTTGCGGTAGAACCTGTCACTGAAGGTAGTTACCAAGCTGAAGGCAGTGAAGGGTGCCCAGCACGCTGTAAACACGGAGAAGAGGATGAGGATGGTGGTGAAGGCACGGGTCTTGAAGCTCATGTCTATGTTCATCTTGAAGGGCTTCTGAAGGCTGAGGAGGCCCAGTTTGCTGGCCTGGCTCAGACAGACGCTGTCTGTGTGGCTACGGATGCGAATGGCATTGTGGCGGATGGTGTTGAGGATGCCCATGAATGTGTATAGCATGACTGTGAAAGGCAAGAAGAAAAAAACTAGCGTTAATATCAACACATAGGCGTGGTAACCAGGATCACTGCTGTAGCCAAATATACACTGAGGAGCTCTGGGTGGGATCTGTAAGGGAGGTGAGCCAACAGCTAGAGGGAAAGTGAAAATGAACGAGAGTCCCCATGTGACCACTATGAGCAGCTTGGCTCTCTGTGGGCTCAGCTTATCTTGCTTCTGGACAATAATAAGAAAACGATCAATGCTTATTATAAGCAGTACAGCTGCTCCTTCCATAACAAAAAACCAAAAGAGCATGGCGGAAACCCGACAGAAAACATCTCCAAAAATCCAGTTGGTGGTCACCACAGTAACCAGAGCAAAGGGCATGTTCAAGATGGCCAGCATCATGTCCGCAAATGCCAGACTAGCCAGCAGAATGTTGATGGCTGAACGCATGGCAGATCTCTGGTACACCATCAGGCACACCACTATGTTTCCTGACAGCGCCACTAAAAGGATGGCTGCCATGACAAAGCAGAAGAAGATCTGCAGAGGTAGGCCAATGCCTTGCTGGATTTCCAGAGCATTTGCCGTTGGGGTGACCGGCTCCGAGGGAGACCCGGAGCCCAGGGAAACGTTTGCCACAGAGAGGTCTTCCATTGGTAGCCTCTCAGAAAGGTTCAGCAACCTCGTAACGACGCAGCAGAAACGGCTGTTAATGTCCCCTGTATCCAGGAGGGGAACAGTAGTGGAGAGAACCATGCTTCTCCAGGGTGAGCAGGCATCATTGCAGGAGAGTTCACATAAAATCTGATGGCAGACATGCAGATATCATCTCCCCAAGGCCACACGGCACCATCTTCATGGTAGCAAGACCCTAAGACAAAAATAAAAATATGTTAGAATTCCATTATGTATTATTGTAGGGTCTACCTTACAATCAGTTTGTGGAGAGCAGATTTCCGTGTTTAAGGATAACAATTTGAGTTGTCACTACCAGACTAAACTCAACTTGACCGATGCAGAGGGTCAATGGTTTAGAGAATACCAATTTTCCTATTTGCATATTACACCATACAGCTACAGGATATAACTATTCTGTCTTAGCACGAGACGCCTATTCATTTTCTATTTAAAAACACACTTAACAACACTTCCGTCAATGTATGATGTGTCAGAAAGGACGCTGAAACAGAAACAAGGTTGCCATGTTTGGTACAATAGTGATCCTTCACGACTGGAAAACTACAATCAACTGAGGCGTGGAGTGGACAAATGCATTGATTTCCAGCAACAAATAATTAAAAAGTTGAGCAGGACTCGTGGGTATAAGTGTGTATGAGTTACACACTTTAAAAGTTTAAGGAAGTGGACAAAATTTGGCTGTAAAAAATTAATGGCAAGTGCTCCCACATAGTTTGAACAAGCTGAAAAATCCAAAAGTATTTTGAAATAATATGAAAAATTTGAACAAAGCTCCAAGAACACAGAGTCCCGAAAGATTTCATGATACTGTAAATTGGGGTAATAAAATAGGATGTTTCTGCCAAACGATTGGTACCTGAATAAAATATGACTCATTTCAGTTTTTTTAAGCAATCAAAAACACAGAGCCTTACTGTTTTAGAACAACAGACCAACACCATGACGGAAATCTTTACAAAACAGAGGATGAATTTCTCACAAAGACCTTTTTACAAAACTGAAACTAAAATGTCAAAGTTTACTAGACAAAAATAAAATTCAATGAGCAACTGTTTTCTTTTTCATCATTTTGTTAAGTGTGTCTGATTGTATCTTGCCCCCAACCATATACCTATTAAACTAATTACATCTTTGAAATAAATAGCATAAAGTTTATTTTTCAGTATACAGAATTAAGCCACATTTAAAAGTGGAATACAGAAAGACAAATCTGTCTCCAAACAGAAACACATTGTCTGGTGTGTTTGGCTAAGCTGTGATAAGAAATCCTATTCGAATTTTTTTTTTACCCCTGAGAGTGACAGAAAGCTAGTGCTCAACCGGACACAAGGCAAATACTGCAATAAAAACCCTTATCACTAGTATAAACACTGGAGGCATTGCAGGCAGGCCAGCTGGTATTATTACAATAGGCAGCAAATTGCAGATATAATAAATGGGCAGCACCAGAGAGTCCATTTGTTAATAGGATAACTTTCCACACAAATTAAGCTTTTTAGTATTTTAGTCCTGTGTGGGTGTAAAAAAATAAATAAATATCAAACCAGTGTAATTATGAGCAATTACTGTGACAACACTGCATTTAAGCCTGTTAGAGGGATCTGTACTTTAGCTGTGCTGCTGTGATACTAGGATATGCAGCCATTTGACAGATAGCGCCATCTCTTCAGCACACCGGAGGAGACAAAAACCTACAATGCAAAAATAAACGGCAGTGAAATCGGGCAGAGTTTGCTTTGTTCATATGCTGATGACAAGCTTATTGTCTAACACAATTTCCACAAGGAGAGCAAGGAGCAGCCGGTTTAGTCTTCTTGGCCCAGTTCCCACTTCATTAACTCTGCATTCAGTGAGGTAGACTGCAGCATGTCGGCCTCAACAGGTAGGGTAGTGTTCGCTGCTTTTGGGTGCAATGACCTACAATGTTAAAAGAGCCACTCCAGTCTCCCAGCAGTCAAGTGATCCTGCATAGGAAATGAATGATCAGGTACTTGGTGTTCTGAACGACAGGGAAATGTTTAAATAACTGCAGAGGCCCTGCAATTATGTAATGAGAATATGCTTACAGCTTTTCACACATCTTGTAACCTTGAATCGCTCAGAGGGAAAAAGATTTGTTGGGAAACTGCCCAGTGAGCTCACGATGGTGCTCGTGATGTTACTGGGAGGTGCCAGTTTTAACGCAATAATAGCTAGTTCAAATACCGTGTTTATTTCAAATATACTGTTAAACACTGGTGTGTCTGTGAGAGAAATACCAGTGTTTCCCCTCACATAGCATTATTTGGACAGGCTGCTGAGTTATACGATCACCCACCCGTGTATGTTTGAAGAGTTACTTAAAAATTCTAATCTAGAGATAATGCAACGTGTGCTGGATTAAGTAGAGGACAATCCCTTGCTATTATTTCAAAGTTCAGTTGCTGCTTGCCAGTTAGCTCCTGCCCTTCCCTGTGTCATGCTTCCCTCCTGCCTGTACTCTAACAGTTGGTAATCTCTGCAGTCTTATAAATGTTGCTCCGATGTCCTTGAAATGAAGCAGCTACAGAGAGGAGGGTAGACAGAAACCTGCGACCCAGGGCTCTCGTGTATAACCTTGTTTTTAGGTACCTTTGAACATTTCACACTGATTTTTTCCCACTGATATCATGCCTTGATACAAATGACTCATGGCTTTAATTTCCCATACCATCTACCTTTGCTTAATTTGTAACTAAGCATAGACTTTGCAGCAGATTGTACACAACGGTGTGAAAGGGTTACAGGGAGCACTTTAAAGTAGTCGTATGAGATATTACTTTTAAAATAAAAACTACAGACTGTGGAGAGCAGGGACTCTAACTTAAAGAGCTCTTGCACAGTAGTGAAAGCACAAGTGGAAGGAATGTTACCACAGATCCATTTAGTACATTCGTTTTCCGAGGATCTAGCAGAGATGTTGTGATTCACAAGATATCAATGTTGTCAATAGTCAATGGTGCAATAGACCTCAATACTTGAAATGTGCAATTCACTTGTATTTTTT